GATTTACTAATGAGCTAAAGCTAATATTGATATATTTATGGGTTTCCGTAAAATGCAAGTATGTTTCTTTGAGCGACATTGTTAGTAGACGTTTTTGTATTACCTGGCGTACACCACCCGTCACTACAGAGACATAATCTCTTTGGCCCGGCATAACTCTGCTTATATCGTCATCTTCGTAGAATTTCACAACTGTATCTACTAACTCTGCTCTCAGTCCATGTCCTACTTTGGAACGAGGGGAACATAATATTCCATCTTCGGCGACCAAATCTTTTACCTGGGAAGAAAGAAAATGAAAATAATTTTTAATTTTTCCTTTATGGTGTTTAAAAAAAATATAAATCTTACCTGTGCTGCAGTATATCTGTTGACACCGAATTCATCCATGATTCTTTGTACAGGCCAAGATTTCGGTAATACGGATAATACTTGTATCTTTTCTTCTCGAGTGCATTCCGGATCTGCGTATTTTTCCTTTAGTTGGCTCATCATTTCATCGTAATCCTTAGCCTTGGCGTTGAGGATTCCTTGGTCATCATCTTCCGAAAGATCGAATATGTGTCGCTTAACCCCATCCATGATTTCTTTGGTTTTCTGTTGAGGATAACACGCGCTTCTCAGCCTCTTTGTCGTAATCGGTGATACATGGATACCCATGATGCCTTGGTTGAATGTCTCAATATTATGGGACAAACTGATTCTATTAACAACAGAACCTGCTGAAGTCGATGAAGCCAGAGACGTAACCGATGGGATGATATTCACAATGGATTCACTCTCGATATCTATGGGTGCTGTTGAGCGTACACCACTGGTAGAAGGTTGTTCCAGATCTTGCTGCATTCCGTCATTCGAAGGCGTTTTGTTTGATGGCAAACGATAAACTTGAAGACGACATCTACTACAAATTTTCAAAGAACTATCCAGAGGTATTTTACAGCCAAAACATTTTAATTTTTCTATTACTCCATCTGACAAGTTTCTTGTATCTGAACAACACTTTTTTGATTTAGGTAGAGGTTTACAACACTTGAAATTGTTATCCATCGTAAAAAAAACTACTTGCTTTTTAACTTGAAACGCTAAGAGAGATGAACTGAATAGAACAGGTGAAGAACGTCCCAATATATATATATATATATATATATATATATATATATATATATATATATATAATATATATATGTAGCAGAATAATTACAATGTTGACATTATACCTATCTTCATTAGGTACAATTGATTATAGCAAACTTTTTTAAGTGTGAGTGTAAGAAGCCTCCACGGGGTGCCTTTTTATGTAGTTGTGATATCGCGGGATGAGCTCTTAAGGCACAATATGGTATACGTCAGAGAAGTACCTAGAGAATTTATCTCAATTACAGGTTTAATAACATATTTGTTTACCTGTTTATGTTTTGAGCCTCTGTTATGACATACACAATTCTATCCAGGTATACAACTAATAGAGGACAGAAAAAAGGCACATGAGTGGGTTTGTTGATTATTTGGGTATATTTGAGAGTATATACATATAAACTTGTTTCTTTTCCGCTGCGTCTAAATAGAAACGGGTAAGTCTGACAGCTACCATATTTGAGAATGAATTGTTTGCTTTTAATATATATTCATGGAAAAACATCTCGTTGCTTACACGAATAACATTTGAAAATGGCCCAAAATGTAGAAAATTATTATAATTATTTTTTTTTTTAATTGCATTAACTTGAGAACAGCTGGACTTAGGAAAAAACAATATATACGCAAAGTTATCGAAAATTGAGATAATCATCGTTTTACGTTTTTTAAATACTAATTTACTAAGTTTTTCTTTCAGTGTATTTTTTCCGCAAAGATAATTTAACTACCTAAAACTTCTTCTCATTTGCCATTTTGATCAGATCAATAGTTTTCAAGTAATGATTTTTTGAAAAAAAAATAATCCATTTTTTTATACGCCCTTTTCAAAAGTTACTCTGGAGGAAACAATCATATTTAAATGAAAAATGCAACCATTAGTAGCAGCGAACACGTGATAAATGTTTCATTCAAATCGGAAACACTCATGTCCAACCGGTTTGCGTTTTGGGCTGGAAATGCTCTAAAGCGAAGGCTAAGAAGTAATGCAAACGTTTGAAATACAGGGGTTGTGAGAAATATAGGGTACTAGCAAAATTTTGTCCAACTTTGGACTATTGAAACTTCGTTGAATATGGTTCGATTTTCAATCTTCAAGAAACATTCGACTGGAAAACTAATCAAGTTTTATGGTAAGGTAATGGAAATTACCATGGTTACCGGATATCGGAGATATTCCGGGTTTCTTGAGGGCATGTCTAAATTGCTAAAATTTGTGATGAGTTTTTCTCAGACTGTCCGTTACTAATCTGTGTTTTTTGTTCTTACGCCAAAAATAGAACCATTTCCAAAGCAAATGACCTACCAAGAGCTAAAATCGACTCAGAATCAACCGAGATATGGCCATTTCCCTGGAATCGGTCATGAGGGAGGGTTCTGAGTGCGGTCAGTTCTTTCATTCACTCAAAACATGCCATGTGACACCTCTTTCTTCATGGTTTTTTACCATTAGGCTTTCTATAGACTTTGAATGGAGCATTGACCACATTGGCCACTTCCGAAACCACCGGAGTGCCCTCGGGGGAACCTGTAGTAGGGGACAAATTCATTTTTACAAAAATCATGCCGTGTGACACCTCTTTCTTCATGGTTTTTCATCAGTAGGATTTCTAAAGACTTTAATTGGATTATTGACCACATTGACCACTTCCGGAACGACTGGAGTACCCCCATAGGCACCTGCAGTAGGAGAAAATTGCATTTTTACACCAAAACATGCACAGCAAAAAAAAGTAGTGTAAATTTCCGTTAATATGATGCACATAAATGGAGCGTCATATATCATACATGTTTAGATTAAAGATCGTGTAAATTTATGAGACATGTCATGCAATATTCCATATATTGTATGTAACTGTCCACTTTTATTTGCAACATTTCTTGCAAGCTGCTAGTTTACGTGAAAAGGAAGATTACATGTATGAATGTTTCAATGCATGGATGTTTACATCGCCAGTAAAATTCAGAATTTTTCGGTGTGTGCCATGTGACACCTCTTTCTTCATGGTTTTTTACCAATAGGCTTTCTATAGACATTAAATGGAGTATTGACTACATTGGCCACTTCCGTAACCACCGAAGTACCCCCGGGGAACCTGCAGTAGGGTACAATTTCATTTTTACACCAAAACATGCCGTGCGACACCTCTTTCTTCATGGTTTTGCATCAGTAGGCTTTCTATAGCATTGAATGGATCACAACAACTGGAAAACAGGTTATCAGCTGATTTCCGAAATACTAATACAGATGCAAGTCTCAAGGCTATGCTATGATTATCTTTGTCGCAATGTTCATTGTTTACATTTTTCATAACGAATCGCAAAGAATGAATATGCATCTTTGTATTTTTTCTCTTTTTCAATCTGATCTTACTACATACTCGCAGCGTGTGAGTATAGTCACATGAACACAGACAAAAGCAAAATTTGAATTTTATGTAAGGATGAACTAAAATGCACCCCTGGAGTAAAATGCGTTGTTTTTCGTTGCTTTCCCATTTGAGTGAGGAGCGTGTTCCCACCATCGACGTCTGTAAAAAAGTTGGAAAAACTTTTGATTGACGATTGGTATTAAATACCTATTGAAACAATTCATAAACCGTACGATTCAATTCCCAGACGAGTCCAAGGCGAATCCTTGCTTCCGAAAAAATCTTTCTCAATGTTATTATTGAATTTTCATCGGTGTATACGAAACTTTTCATATCTTTTCATATCGTCACATCTTACATGTTGACGAAAAGTAATGAAAAAAGAGCTGTCTTACGGCATGTATTGGTGTAAAAATATAATTGACCTCTGCTATAGGTTCTCCGAGGGCATCTCGATGGTTTCGAAACTGGCCAATATGGTCAATAATCCACTTCTACAGAAACCTTTTTGATGAAAAATCATGACGAAAGAGTCCCCTGCTAAAGGAATCCCAATCTATTCAATGATCCAATTCAAGTCTTTAAAAAGTCTTTTGATGAAAAACCGTGAAGAAAGAGCTGCCATACGGAATGCTTTGGTGTAAAAATGCAATTGTCCCCTGCTACAGGTTTCCGTGGGGCCTCTTGGTGGTTCAGTGAGCGGGAAATGTGATCAATGATCCAATTAAAGTTTATAGAAAGCCTACTGATGAAAAATCATTAGAAAAAGCTATAGTATGCCACAGTTTGGCGTAAACATGCAATTGTCACCTACTGCAGGTTTCCCGGAGGGCATTTCGGTGGTTCCGAGGCGGCCAATTTAATTAATGACCCAATTCAACTTTATAGAAAGCCTACTGATGCAAAACCATGGAGAACGAGCTGTCACACGGCATGTTTTGGTGTAAAAATGAAATTGTCTCTTACTTATGGTTTCCTGGGGGCATTCTGGTTGTTCCGATAGTGGTCAATGCGATCAATGATCAATTCAAAATCTATGGAAAGCCTACTGATGCAAAACCATGAAGAAAGAGCGGGCGCACGGCATGTTTAGGTGTAAAAATGCAATTTTCCCCTACTACAGGTTCCCCCGGGGGTACTCCAGTGGTTCCGGAAGTGGTCAATGTAGTCAATGATCCATTTAAAGTCTTAAGAAATCCTGCTGATGAAAAACCATGAAGAAATAGGTGTCACACGGCATGATTTTTGTAAAAATAAATTTGTCCCCTACTACAGGTTCCCCCGAGGGCACTCCGGTGGTTCCGGAAGTGGCCAATGTAGTCAATGATCCATTCAAAGTCTATAAAAAGCCTATTGGTAAAAAAAAAAACTATGAAGAAAGAGGTGTCGCATGGCATGTTTTGAGTGAATGAAAGTACTGACCGCACTCAGAACCCTCCCTCAGGACCGATTCCAGGGAAATGGCCATATCTTGGTTGATTCTGAGCCGATTTTAGCTGTTGGTAGGTCATTTGCTTTGGAAATGGTTCTATTTTTGGCGTAAGAACAAAAAACACAGATTAGTAACGGACACCCTGAGAAAAACTCATCACAAATTTAGCAATTTAGACATGCCCTCAGGAAACCCAGAATATCTCCGGTATCCAGTAACCATGGTCACTTCCATTACCTCACCATAAAATTTGATTAGTTTTCTAGTTGAATGTTTCTTGAAGATTGAAAATCGAACAATATTTAACGAAGTTACAACAGTCCAAAGTTGGACAAAATTTAGCTTGTACCCTATATTTCTCACAACCCCTGTACATACACTGAAGTCTTTGTACACGGTTTTTTACACGGTTTTTCGCTATTTACACGGTACGCTTTTAAAGATTTCTCGACAACGATAAAACCTATCGACTTGATTCTAATCACATTATCCGTTTCAAGCTATAGGTATCGAATGGCATACTTTAAAAAAAAATCACAATTTTTGGTGCAAATTCAGAAATTTTTAAAATATGTCTATATGGACCATAGCATGCTATAATAACAAATGGCATCAAAATCCGATTTTTTTTAACATTTAAGCATGTGAAAAATCAAAATCTCGGTAGGTTTTTTTTTTAACATGGTTTTTTTTACACAGTACATATCCCCCGTGCTAACAAAAAAGACCTGAGTGTATACGGTTTAGATTCGATGTAAAGCGAATTTTGCACTAGCATCTCTGGTTGTCGTAGCAAGGAACTGTTGACAGCCTTTTGATCTGGAAAGATTGTCTATTCTGTGGAGAAAATTTAATCAGATTTCATACTCACGTTTAAAAGTTATCGAATATGGAACGCGAGAAACGTGAAAAAAATCTGCTCGCTCACCAAGTGGAATGAAAAGGTGCTCAAATTTCCAAAATCGACTGTAAATACTATGCTTAAACGCTACCGGGAAACACTATCGTTGGATTGCACAAAACAAATTGGAAATTATCCACGGCTCATACAAATTTAAAAAATTAAAATTGTTTATGGACAATTTTCTTCGCAGTGGATGGGGAGGGGCAAGAATCCCAAAAAACTATCTACGTAGTTAATGAACAACCCACCCCGTAACGTGGGTAGATCACCTTTTCGTGGTACTTTAGGGGATGAAAGATCTACCACCGATTCCTAGTCCTGACTTTTTCGAACTAGGGGAACAGGATTTTTCAGTAATCAAAGGAACACTTCTTAGTCCTTGTTACTTTTTATGCCTTGTTGATAGTGACAAGACTCGGCTTTGTCCAACGAGGATGATATTGAAACAAGAAAAAAATGGGTTAGTTAGTCTTCATCTATGTGATTCCTAATCTTCTATTCGTTGTTCCCTAGTTTGAAGTGGTTAAGACTAGGGTTCTGATGCATGGTCATTATCGGTGTAATACCTTAATTTTGTTGCTAAGGAATCCAATTTTGACTGACAAAGGGGCGTGCCTTTGGAGGGTGTTTCAAAGCTCCGAAGGGTAAAAAGAGCGGGACCTTTCAATTAGAGTCGGATCCTTGCGATAAATGCAAGAATGACAACTATAAAAAAAAGTAGAATGGTCTGTGCCTAGGGGCACGAACGGAAGCTTGACGTAAGGCCGCTAGTGGACGGAACAAATATGTTGATCATTTAGTTCTCAACTCTTTCCATTTTTGAATTGGTGGCCCTGAAAAGGGCCGGTTGTTTTTAAAATGGTGGCCACACCAGTGCAAGTCGATGCCAATCGGATGACGACGGCCTAGTCATGCTGCCTATTACGGGAAGCCTTTCCTCCGGTCGATGCGGGTGCTTTCGTCGTCGTCTCAGTGATACCACTTCACTTATACAGATTTATCTGAAATGATACAGATTTTTCTCAAAATTTTGATATAGATATCTGTATATACAGATAACATTTTTATTATATATACATAATTTTCAGATTTTTCAAATCAGTGGAATATATGTTTAACTCTGGATTATATTTTTAATATACATAAATAATCCTTTCTTCCTTTTGAGTAGGTACGAGCACATAACCAAATACCAATTCTTCACTTTTTATTTTATTATCTTCGTTCATTTTGAACAGAATTCTGATGATCAGATGTTCTGATTGCTCGCTAGAAAGGATGTAAGTTTTTCATTCTTATTGTTTAACTAAACTTATCACATGGTGACAGGTTATCGTTGTTTTTCTCCTCCTTTCCTTTCATTGGTAGAATGGTGAGCGGTCAACCGAGCATTGAGCTCGTTCTTGTGAGCAATATGCTCAATGTGTCGTTTGTTCGATTTGCGCTCTATCGTTGCGTTCGTGTTTGGGATTTTTCGTTACATGTCTGAATTTTGATTTTTTTTTAATGCGATCCCCAGTATAGACATTAAAGACGCAGTCCTACGTAAAAATCTAATACTTCATCATACGACATGCACTAAACTAAGGACACGGGATATACTACAATAGATCAAATTACTGGTCGCAGTGGTGTTAGGTCCCGAACAGAGGAAAAAATAATGAACAGCCCCTAATGCAATGGCTGATCATGGCATGGAAATGTAAATAATCTAATTTAAAGCTCTTGAATGTCATACTATTCTTAAATTTTTGTCCTCTGAGTGCTGTATGTTTTACAGCTAATTTTCAAATAAAAATCATCCTTTATTTGGATGACAGTCATATGGAGCCTCATCATCCGAAATTCAAATGCATATTGTTAAAGGGCTCGAGCAATACAATAAGCATTCGAAGTATTGCGGATGTTTTCGTTCAGTGTAGTGAATACCACACTGTGCCAGAGGGTAACACAAAGGGATACACCCAATCACACACACGAGTTTGTAAAGGCTAAGAACAACGTTCACACTAGGATCAAGGTACTGTCTTTTTAGTTTATAGCCATTATGCAGTTATTTATGTGAATCTAGTGAGATGCCTTCGCTCATCATAATTTTAAAGCATGCTTGGCATGCACAGTTATACACACCAACTGCTCATTTGGTAATAACTTTTCACTCAGATGTTAAAATTTATTTTTCTTTAAAGTAATTGATTAGGCTAATAGTTTACTATAGATATGCGAAGATTAGGTAAAGCCTAACATTTGAATCAACACTAATCAATTTAACACTTAAATTCCGAGATGTGTAGTGAGCATTTCTCACCTCATTTTTACAACACAAAAACAAATACAGTTTACTACTAGCATTAAAATCTACTTTTTTTTACATATCTATAACAAGCTTACACTCTATTCTATCTACTGCTTTAAAAAGAACTGTGTGCAAAGTTATTAGCAAATGAGCAGTTCGTGACCAAAACTGTGTATGCCAAGCATGTTTTTTAAGAGTTGTGACATACAGCATTGACCTAAAAAAGAACTGGCATCGTTGATTATTTCGAAATGTGCTGAACAATTCAGTCGCGCTATCATGACTAATGCGAGCATATTCCCAACTAAAATCGTATTTCAATTGACTGCTAGAGCGTGCGACGAATGTGATTGTTAGAGTTGTGTCTGTTTGTCTTTGCGAATTTGTTTTTGATTCAGTTCCAACCTGGATCGGGTAACTAGATTGGGTCTGTTTGTTGAAAGACAAACGTCAGTGTGAACGTTTGTTTTTGTAGCCTGGCTCAAGTTGAAGTTGAGGTTGACTGACAATAAGCTCGGGTTCGCACGGGTACCGGAATTTGTTTTATGTGTGGGTGTGGGTGTGTGGGTGTGTGGGTGTGTGGGTGTGTGGGTGAGTGTGAAAAAGAGTGAGAGAGATAGAGAGAGTACTTACTGTGATGAATCCCGAATATAGCTGAGTTCAAATATTCAATTGCTCCTTGTACCGCACATCTTGCTGCAAGTCGTGCTCCCTCTCCCCAATTGACCCCGTCTGCTAATGCCATTATGCATGTATCTTCCCTTGCTACAATTCCAAAGCAATCTGCTACAGGATTCCCAATACTCTCTCCCGTTATTGCATTCTTCTCATACAAGGAAACTGAAATTCCATAAGCGTGAACATCCGGGAGGTTCCAGTTTTTTATATTTGCAATAGGATCCGTAGTTGTTTCATCCAAAGCACTCTTGATAATTGTGTTGTCGTTTTTTTTATTCAAAGGATCTTCATTAGGATTTTTGGAGGCAGGCACCTTTTCAGAATGACGTTTGGTATAGGCGATCGTGGAAACTCCTTGCTTTGAACTCTCCTTGTATGTTGTGATTGATCTCTTATTTGCATTGGTATCCATTTTAATGCTAGACTTAAACGCATCTTGCTCCAAATGAGTGTCTATAAAATCTATTTCAGGACCAGCACTCAAGTGAATACGAGTTCTTCGAACTCCAGTCAATCCTTTGTCGGGACCCGTGTAGGCTGCCGATACAGATTCTGGTCCAGTTTTATATTTGTGAACATTGTGTTCGGGTAATTCAGCTGGTTCTTTTCCTGATTTAATCTTTGGTATTGAATCTGGTGGCTTCCACGTCCTGAAAAACAAATGATGGTAATAACACAACATACTAAACATTTATAACATAGTTTATACGTAAATATAAGTTCGCATCGTATTGCGGATTTCACACCAAGCTGGACAAAGCGCGAGTTTAAAACGGTTTAATGGAAAAATGTACTTTTATCACACTTTTTGCTTTTGTGGGGCAGTCCAGTTTCAGATGCAATTAGTAATAACTCACTCACAAGTGGTCTTTATTATAATGCCGCTGATCGCAAGTCAGTGCTTTTTTGTCAAAACTGTTTTTTTTTTCAATGGAAATGGTAGCTGATCCCATAGTTTCATAATACTGAATGAACTCAACAACTTTGTTGTTAGGGAAAACAGGCATACGGGTTGTCCTATTACAAGAGCATCTCATATGAATCAATTTATCAGGAAAAGTGAAAAAGTGCGTCATGTGAGTCCTATATTGAAATTACCCGCATAGCAGTCCTATATTGAAAGTATCTGCATTTTTGTCACATTAGGACGCTTCATTTTGAAAAAAATACACTGGAGTCGCTTTTTACGCGGGGGATACGTGCCGCGTAAAAAATCGCGTAAAACCCGTTTAAATTCCAAAATCCGCGTAAAAAAAACCGCGCAAAAAAAACGTGTAAAAAACGCGTAAAAAGCGATTACAGTGTATTCGACAAATAATGATAAACCGCGCAAATTCCGAAATCCGCACAAAAAAAAACTGCGTAAATTCCGAGATCCGCGTAAATTCCGAAATCCACGTAAAAAAACCGTGTAAAACCGCGTAAAAAGCGACTCCATTGTATTCAAAATATGAGCCTAAGCAACAAATGGCAATGATTGTAGATTTGTAGAAGTTTTAGAGCTTGCGTAAATGGCTTAAAGATTGTATGGAGATTATGGTGAATTACTACGAGATACTTATTTTGAAATTTCACTACATAAGATAGATCTTTGATTAAAATAGTCAGAACGCTATCAAAATTTGATATGTGGTTGCCATGACAATGTTTTGCTTATTTTGAAGAAATTGGTGTTTGGTGTTTTATGAGCTTATAAGGATCATTGATTTCGTCTTACAACCCTTGACTTCTATTACAAGTTAAACCGATTATCGATGTCTTGATCCGTTGACTCCCTGTTTTAGATATCAGCATGACAATAGTTATCATCGTGCATCTTCACTGGGTCAGTGATCTCCTAGACGTTGCCACACATTAGCTTCAACAACCAGGGTAGCTGGAAAAGACTGGATTTGGAAAACGTTTTCTACATCTATTGACTGCAAGCTAACACATTACTTATTTCTAACGATCCAGTTAATTTAACCACTTCCGAATATGAAAACCATACTTGAATTGGAATCGCTATCCCTACAATCCAATCAGTTTTAGTAGATTAACTTACATTTCTAATAACACCCCTCATAATTTTTGCTGCACTTAAAATATCACGTCTATGCATTCGTCCGTTGAATCTGACTTAAATTCGCAAAAATCGCAGATCACTCATAGACTGAGTAAATTTCTACGTTTTTCCTCAAAAATCAGCTCGAGTATGAAGAAAATCGAAAACATTTTTACTCGTAGACTGAATAAATTGTGTCTCCAATTTTCTCTTGTACACGTAGATATTTGAGAAATATCTTTAAAAAATACTAAATAGTCTATGAGTGACCTGCGTTGATCGAGTTCATAGATTTCAAATTCAACGTGAAGCATTCCAAACACTAGGTAACTCTAAGACCAGAAGGTCCCGAAGAAACTTGCTCAACTTTTTAGCTCTGCTCTGGTACTCGTCTTCGGTCCCAAGCTAATCGATGCACCCCTCGAAACATTGTAAAATCCACGAACTCCTCTTTTATCTATCAATCGTTCATAGCAAATCAAAGCAAACATAGTGTAGTACTAGAATTGCAACTAGAATGGGGTACGTTAATCGATATACTTGAGACCGATAGGCTAGTCGAGTGTGAGCAAATTTAAAATCGTTAGTTTCTCCCGGTTGCTACTACCGTTGTATCAACCGGTGGAAACTAACGAGTTTAAATTCGCTCACTACTTGACTAGCCTAATGGTCCCAAGTACATATATAAGCGTACCCCATCGAGTTACATCTATGGTACTACCATAGAGGTAACTGTAAGACCAGAAGGTCCTGAAGAAATGTGCTCAATTTTTTGGCTCTGCTCTGGTACTATCTTCGGTCCCAAGCTAATCCATGCACTCCTCGAAACATAGGAAAATCCACGAACTCCTCATTTTATCTGTCAAACTTTCATAGCTAATCAAAACAAAAGTACTAGAATTTCGAGCATATTTAAAATCATTAGTTAGTAGCAACCCTACCGTTGTATCAGCCGGTGGAAACTAACGATTTTAAATTGGCTCACTACTTGACTAATGACTTGACTGGTGAACCACAGGTTAACAATCTCAGCAATTTAGCAGGGCATGAAGAATGGCACCAGGATCATGAATTGAAACTAATCCTGATCCTGTGCATAGTGTGCATTCACCTTGCAATAACAGTGTTCCCACTCTATAAACGCTATTCCCATACACAGGCACTGAAGATTGCAAATTTACAAGCATTGTGACGAACAATATTCAGTAAGATTATGGCGTTGAAAGCAACCAAATAAAGACATTTAGCGACAACGGTGGTGCCTAACCACTGCAGTCACAGCAGCAAATACAGTAGCAGTGAAACAAAGCAGAAAAAGTGCGGGAAGTGTCGAGGTAAAATACCCCGCCACCGGAAGATCAAAAAGTGACAGGTATGGTTTAATAGCAGCAAACTTCGAGACACCGAGTAGACAAAAGTGATGCCGAGGGTCAACAAAGCAGCCGCAGATTATTTGAATTACTTATTTTCAGAATCATATGTCAATGGAACATGTTGACGAACTAATATTACAAATAACAAAAATCTTAAAGATATCAAAAAACCTCCAAACCGAACTTTAGAATTTTGCGAGGGAGATTCTTGAAGAGGATCATTAGAGATTCATTTTGAAATCAGAAAGGCGGGAAATCAAAACTTTAATTCACACTCGGTAGAGCAAAAATTACCGAGAGGCGGACAAAAGCACAAACACTAAAGGGTAAAGGTTCCAAAAAATCCAAAAACGAACTCCAAATGCATTTTTATACTTATATTTTGAATCCTCCCATTGGTCCCTTACATTGGAGTTGGAGATCTTGGTGCCTCCTATTATCTTTCCAATCTTATTTTCTCTTCTTGTGAGTACTCACTGTTACCGGCCGGGTGCACCCTTACCGCCGCTCGCTTTTCGACGAACCGCTGCAATCAGACGCCGAACCGACGCCACAAGACACCACACATCGATGCTTTCTGCTCCTCCGTTGATCGAAGACCACTCTACAGCACCCTTGGGTACTTCCCGTCCGTCGTGTCCGCCGACCTGCTTCGTCGAGTGTCACTCGAAACTATCTGTCCAACAGATGGCGTATGCTGCGTCAGTCTCGCGAAGCGCAACGATCCTCGAAGTGACCGTCTTTTGGCAGTGATAATGTACTTCGGCTCCTTGTCGGTCTCTAGCCAACGGCGTTCCTGACCGTCGTACGTGCAGCTTCGTAGACCACCCTCGAAAGATGGCTGCAAATCCAAAACGTGCCCTGTCGATCGAACCAGCTTCCCTGCGCCGCTCAGAATCGATGGGATAATTGAACCGGCAAAACACGAAACAAAAGCCCTGGGGCGCATTCCGCATTAGCCTCCATTTGACGGCCATCATGTTGAGTAAAACTCACTTCTCTTGGAAGGCTTTCTGTCCAACACGGCGACCCGCCGCAATCACGTGTCTCTTGTCAGGATGTTCGATTCCCAATTTGTGTAATTGTTTGACACATTGTTAGTTGCAGCACCGCATAAATCTTAACTGTACTCACTTTACAGTGTTTTCCAGAGGTAGGGTAGTTCCGCGCTGGTGTGTGCCGATCGTGTGACGCGAAGCTGTATCGAAATCCCCGTGTTAATTTTAGTATTTGATTATCATCATTTTCCTGGACTAACCTTTCGACAGTCGTCAAATCCCGCTGTCTAATCCGCGTCTCGGCTCGATCTGCGTGGCAATCCTGACACCCACTCTCGAGAAGATGATTTTCCAAAGCACGGCAGATTCGGTTTGCTTGGAAAACGGCTAGTGCAGGTTACATGCTACTGCGCACTCGGACGGTCTTCCGAACAACGGGTTTTCCCCACGCACTTCCTGCGTGCTATCGGAACTCGGTTCGACCACGGCAATCTGCACCACGAAGGAAAATAACTCCGATCTCCAACAGCAGCACTCACAACGAATGGAATTCTTTCCACCACGCACTGGCAGGCTCGTACAATCGAGAATTGTATTTTCACCCGGCACTACAAACCAAGCCGTTTCGCTTGCTATTCGGACGAGGACAAGCAAACTTTCGCTCTGCTGGTTTCTCTGCTTCGCATGCCGGTGGTGTGTCGGTGTGCGTGCAGCGAAAACGTTGTCAGCGGATGCTGTCGATGATGTTTTCGTTGTTTGGTTCGTTTCCAATTTAAGGCCCATCCCGACCAACCGTTCGTGAAACTTCTTCAAAGTTCTTTATACAGAAATAAAGATTTATGTCGGCAATTCTTTACTTTAAATCTTCTATGATTTCGATGTACACATTTAAAAATCTTTTTTGATCGATACTTACATTTAAGATTATTTCTTCATCGGTTATATGATAGTAATCTATAAAGGTGCCATACTAAATTTATTTTAATTTCGATATGTCACATGGACTTTAGTATTCTTTACAAATATTCATCCATAAATATTTAAATACTGATATCATCGTAACTTTGAACTTTGACAAAGAACAGAAAAGATTGCCATCGATGCACATTTATAATCTCCTTGTTATCGATTTGCATCGCTGGTTAAAGAGAGTTCGAAACACACCAGGTGACAGAAGCAATCCGAGATGCAATCTGCCGGTAAATGAACGAGAAGACCGATGGCCGCGACGCAGC